GATTTGCAGAAGGCAAAGGTTGAATCAACAAGACCCGACTTCAAAGAGCAAAATATGTTTCATTGAGGCCCATCAAAAATTGGAACAAACGCTGTTAATTAACATGCTCAAGATTCCTTTGAGATAAATGACAATCGCAAGTTGAAAAGGGAACGAGCGCACCGTATTCATCCCATGGAAGCTTCAACTTCGTGAAATAAGTTGACACATAATCAACACCTTGAGTGAGGGTAGCAATCTACCGGTGAAGAAAGAAGAATCTAGAACCATCAATTTTGTCAAATCTGTCCTTCAAATCACGCCAAACCACAGCAGAGCTTGAAGCGAACACGAGCCCAGCCAAGAGATTCCCCCCACCCCAACTGTGTAAGAATTTACAAAAGAGAAAATTTTAAAATTACACAACTCATTCAACTATTTTAATAATAGGAGAAAGTGTTTTATCTTTAGAGATATCAAACTCAAACAATTATATCTTTGAGGTGTACGTGTATTGTCGAATGAATAAAAAACTTTTAAATAAATATTATTTTATAATAAGTACAGACTAATCAAAATAATTAGAAAAAAGATTTGAGACAAATTGTCTTCAAGTTATTCTATTTTAAAATAATAGTAAATCAATGTTATCTAATTGATTAATTCAAACTAAAATCAAATGTAAAATTAGAAAGTTAAAAAGTGGTTTTCAAAGCTTGGTGGCCCTTTTTTTTTTATAGAGAATTTCAATTTTAGATATATTTTAAAAAAAAATTTATTAAAAATTTATTTTATTTTCTAAAATTTTATAAATTCGTCTTTTATTATTAATTATGCGTTTGAATATTTCACCTACGTATAAGGAGTTCTCACCAAAGTGCTATGTTATACGTAAATTAGGGTGTTTGTAGAGCGAGTTGATCACGAGCTGGGCAGTGTTTGACTTGTGCTCGTTGAAATATTTTGTTGTTCAACTCGACTCGAGGTTAAAATTTTGATCGACTCGTGCTCGTTAAGAGAATTTATTGCTCGACTCATTGCTGTTAAACTCATTAAGCTCGTTGCTCACCTTATTGCTCGTTAAGCTCACCGAATATTTTATTTTATTTTTAACTACAAGTAAAATCTACTAATACTATATAAAACTTAATATAAACATAAATTAATACATTTAACTAACAATTATCAAAAGAATGTATGAAACAAATCAAAGTCTAAACATCAAAATAACAATCATAAATACATTAAAATAATAATTAGGATTTGATTTTTGGGTGTAGTAAAATAATGATTATTAATTGATAATTTAGTGTTTTTAATTATTTATTAGAAAATTAATAGATTAGTAATTTATCCTCTCTTTTTTATCTATTAGTAAATTAGTAATTTTTAATGAAATAATTTTTTAAGATAACTACTAAAAAAGTATAAAAATTAACAAACTGATGGTGGACTTATCGAGTCGAGTTGGACTTTGCTCGATTCAGCTTGTTAAGGTCTCGAGTTTGAGTCGAGCTTTTACCGAGTTTTGATCGAGTCGAGTTCGAACTGCTCACGAGCTGCTCAACTCATTAAGAATCCATATACGCAATGGCAGATGTATTAAGGGCTGACATGCCCATCCTAAAATTCAAATTTTCTTCGATTAGTCATCTATTTTATTAATGGTGCTCACCTGAATTATGAATTTTCTTCGATTATGACCTATATTATTGATGATGTTCATCCTGAAATTTTATTTATGCCTACATCGTTCAAAAATTTATATGATTAACGTAAATGTGCCCACCCTAAAAAAAAATTCGGATCCACCACTGCCTATACGCAATCCATCGTAGCTAAGTTGTATATGAAGACCATCGACTCTATCAAGTTTTCCAAGTATTCACTCAGTGACGAATCTAGAGATTTAAAAACGATGGTCCAAAATTTTAATTTTCTTTTTCTAAAATGAGTATGCAATTTTTTTTTCTGAACACAAGAAACTAAATTGAACTATTTTTCCAAAATAATGAGACGCACTTGAATTTTGTGGGAACTTAATGCATCCTTCCCTGTAATTCACCCACTATTTCATGGTTCATCTTATGCATCATGCCTTCATAAAACCACAACAGTAAAATTTCCATTCTGATGATGCAAATAATTTGTATATAAAGAACACTTTAAATGGATGAAATTGAATGGCAACGACAAAAGTCTGAATCGATAGAAGTATCGATAAAAAATTGTCTTTTCAACTTAATATTTTGTATTTTAATGTTATCAGTTTCTTCCCCAAAGATATATTAGAAAATGTCAGAAGAAAACAATAAGTCTAATGATCGCACATTGATTATCTGTAAATTATATACGATGAAAGGTTCATTTACGATATTGAAATGTATTTTCGAAATTGCAACACCAGCTATAATCACACTTGTATCTACCATATAATGATGAGTCTTTTGCATCTCGTGAAATTGTTAAAGAAGGTATTACACAATTGTTCTTAACATAAAAGAACCAGACAACCAGTGATAATTTCCCACTTTTTACTCATAAAAAATGCAGGATATATCCAATAACACAGTTTATTACAAGACACAGGCAATTATTTCAGCAGCCATTAAGCATTAAGAAGTTTCTAGTGATTACCAGGAACAGTTTTAGCACTAATGAATAATAATCTTTTGTTGCTTTTGTTCTCTATATAAGGCAAAATCAAACTACTTGCACCAAACTTTGAAAAGGTTATACCCCAATTTCAGCAGCTGCAACGCTTTTTTGCTCGCATAAACTAAGTAATTTAAGTGGTTAAAGAGATAATTATTATTTTTATGGGTCTCAAATTCAAGCAAGATATCTATAGGAATATTTAAGTGTTCAATTTTAAATAGTTAAGAACATTTTGAACATACTACCTTATAATTACTCTAAACTAATAATTACAAATCGTATAATGTTTTTCACTTGAAAGCTTCAACTGCCCTTTCTTTTGGATAAAAGAAAATTGTCAATTGACTTATTGAAAACAATTTTTGAACAATTTCTACTCAAGGGAGGTGGAAAGAAAATTTTATTCCTAACAAATATTGAACCCACGATCTAAGAGAGAGAAGAAATATCAAATAAGAGCTTTTAATCACTTACTCTAAAATTGTTGACGACTTATTGAAATCAGTTAAAATTTATAAAAAACCGGATTGAAAAAATTATTCATTATTTATTATATATTAGTTTACTTCATTCACAATATTAAAATCTAAATCTCTAAGCTATATTAATGAACTCAAATTCTCAACTCACTATTTTTTTTATAGCTTAGAGATTTAGATTTTAATATTGTGAATGAAGTAAACTATATTAAGAGTAGTTGTCATAAATGAGTCTTTGTAATAATCGACTTGGATTAGTCAACTAATGAATTAGATATCAACGATTATATCCAAAAGACGAAAGTCACAAAACCATGAACGAACATCATAAGATGTCAAAAAAATATTAGAAATAAAAAATATAACAAACTTAATAAATATTTAAACTCAAAATATTTTCTTTAAAAAATATCTCATTTATCTAATATTTAAACTTATAAAGCTTAATATGTAATTAGACCACTCCTCAAATCCTTTCTTCCGGACTTATATTATAAAAAAATGTAGAAACTTGGTATTATATGAAAGTCAGTTCTTTTCTTTTCTTTTTGTTGCTCTCGCAGTTTCAAGACTTCGCTCTGATTAATTCGATCAAACTACGTCCACTTAGTTTGATGAATGAATTTTTTAATATAGATTTTTTACATATACAAAAATTCAAACTCAAGATTTTGCTTGAATGATATCAAACTGTTTATCATTTGACCCAATTTGCAAAATAAATTTTTTTTCTAATTTTTTTTTGTTGTGTTTTGTTGGAGTAAGATGCAAAAAGACGGGGCCAAACAAAGAGAAAGAAAGGGAAAGAAAGTATAAGAAAAACATATTGTAGTTTTAAATAGATAAGCTGATCCGTGAAAAACTGACTATCACGTGAGATTATTTTAAAATTCAGTTTTTTCAAGTCATTGAATTTTTTATTCAAACGCATATTCTTAAATATAAATTATGATTTTTAAATATTTTATAACATCAAATATTATAAATATAATAAACAATTATTTTTACATGAAATAAATAAAATTATTATTTAATATAATTTTCTGATATTTTCTTATTCTATGTATGTTTATTTTGTATAAAAAATTAAGTACATGATCTAAATTAATTATCGATTGTTTAAAATATCCAACTTGCTTTATTTATCGATTGTTTAAAAAAATCAATTTCATTTAAATATTCAAAAATTATTTGATAACAAATGAGATAGCTTACTTATAGGTAACAACATAAGCTATCAAAATTAATTAGAAGTGACGGTGATTTACTTTTTGGTAAATTCTCAATAAAATTAATTAAAATTTAAATTGATTTCAGGGTGGTGAATTTCAGATTTGAGTTAATTAAAAAAAATACAATGGATTGATTTTAGGATGAAATGATTAATATTTTAAAATTAAAGAGGGGCAAGGCTTAATATAAATTAAATGACAATTCGAACAAATCATTAATCCTAACTTCTAATATTCATATTTAAAATTAACCAAAACCTAATACTAGGCCCTAGGGTGAGAAAAGTCAAATATAATTAATTTAACCTAAAAAATATTATTTTATAATCACCCGGTATATAATCTAATATCTAATCCCACTAAAAATATTTTTCTCGATCATATTATTAAATTTGAAAAAGTATATAATGATATTAAATGCAAAAAATATATTAAAACTAAATAAATATTATTTATGATATATTGATAAAAACATTATTTTAGTTCCTACTAAAATTGGAGCATAGAATCAATATATCAGCGGAAGGAAACAAGATCTGTATATAAAATAATGTTTGTAAGAGATTTGACCTTTCACTTGGAGTAAAATACTGGAAATGTTAGCATTTGCTTTGTTATTTCTCCTTCAAGTATTCGAGTCTACAGCTATGGATTTTCTTTTTTCTATAAATATTTCACCTCATTTTCATCCATATCCAGCCAAAATTTTTCATTTTTTCCTCTATAAATAGTGTTGTCAACTTCTCATCCATCTCAATCCCTGCAAAAACATGGCAAACTCTAATATCGCCTTCTCTCTGTTCTTTGCGTTCTTTGTTGGACATGGAATTGTGGAGCTTCAAGCTTCACACCATGTTTACAGTCATCTTCAAACTGTTAAATCTTCTGTTTCTGCAAAACAACCTTACAGAACTGGCTATCATTTTCAACCTCCCAAGAACTGGATCAATGGTATAATACATACATACATACATACGTACGTACATACATATGTTTTTTCACATAAGGGGTTGCTTTTTTTCTTGTATGTCTAACTATTTTTCCCTGTTTGATTGTTGTTTGTATCTGGTTTGACTTCGGGAGTTGACAGATCCTAATGGTTAGTACTTCTCGTGTTTCATGTTCTTTTCTCAATGATTTTGCCTATGATTCTCAAGTAAACTACTGATATAATTTGCAGGAATTATGGTTTACAAGGGAGTTTATCATTTGTTCTACCAATACAACCCAAAAGGTGCTGTCTGGGGCAACATTGTGTGGGCTCATTCTACATCAAAAGATCTTGTGAATTGGACCCCTCATGAGGCAGCCATCTATCCATCCCAGCCATCTGATATCAATGGTTGCTGGTCCGGTTCAGCCACGATCCTCCCCGGTGGCAAACCGGCGATTCTATACACCGGAATTGATCCCCTGAACCGACAAGTCCAGAATCTAGCCATCCCCAAGAATTTGTCCGACCCTTACCTTAGGGAATGGATCAAATCAGCTAAAAATCCTCTGATGCAACCTACTGCTCAGAATCATATCAATGCAAGTTCGTTCAGGGATCCAACAACTGCATGGTTAGGCCCTGATAAGCAATGGAGAGTCATCGTCGGAAGCAAAGTGAACCGCCAGGGCTTAGCCATCCTTTTCAAAAGCAAAGATTTTGTGAACTGGGTTCAATCCAAAACACCATTGGATTCTGCTAAAAACATCGGAATGTGGGAATGCCCTGATTTTTTCCCTGTTCTGGTTAAAGGCCGAAATGGCGTTGACACCTCTATTAACGGTCCTTATGTCAAGCATGTGCTTAAGGTCAGCTTAGATGATACCAGACATGACATATATACCATTGGCTCGTATGATAATGTGAAGGACGTATATACACCGGACAAAGGATCCATCGAGAGTTATTCCAGTGTGAGATATGATTACGGAAAGTATTACGCTTCCAAGACTTTCTTCGACAATGTCAAGAATCGGAGAATCTTGATGGGTTGGATTAATGAATCATCAAGTGTGGCTGATGATATCAAGAAAGGATGGTCTGGTGTCCATGTAAGTTCTGGTTTACTTATTGATTGTTTATTAAGTAACTTAAGTTGAAAGTTACCTAGTTTCAATTAAGACCATCCTTTATGTTATCTAAATTTGCAGGCAATCCCTAGGAAGATTTGGCTGGACGGATCCGGCAAACAATTGGTGCAATGGCCCGTACCCGAAATACAGAAGCTACGTGCGAACCACGTTAGCTTTGCTAACAAAACGCTCAGGGGAGGATCCGTTATCGAAATTTCCAACGTCAATGCAGCACAGGCAGATGTTGATGTTTCATTTGAGATTGCTGATTTAGAGAAAGCTGAGGTGCTGAAACCAAGCTGGACCAACGCACAGCTCCTATGCAGCCGAAAGGGCGCATTGGTTAAAGGCAGACTCGGTCCTTTCGGTTTGCTGGTTTTGGCTTCGGATGACCTGAAAGAGAACACTGCAGTGTTCTTCAGAATATTCAAACGCCAGAACAAACATGTTGTGTTAATTTGCAGTGACCAATCCAGGTCTTCCCTAAACCAAGACAATGACAAGACGCCATATGGAGCCTTCTTGGATGTGGACATTCAACATCAAAAGCTGTCATTGAGGAGCCTGGTAAGTTACAGCTTTAACATAAGTTTTTACATTTAGGATAAATCCGTCGCAGGTACGGGGTTCGAATCCTTGATTAACATATTTACTCTAAAGAATTAAGCTCGGATTAGATCGGAAGAAAAATCTTCCATTGACACCATTTTCATCAAATTTTATCATCGTTTTGAACAGATAGATCATTCAATCGTGGAGAGCTTTTGTGGAGGTGGAAAAGTCTGCATAACATCAAGAGTTTATCCCACATTGGCAATTAACAAGGCTGCCCACTTGTATGCTTTCAACAATGGAACTCAAGCCATAAAGATCTCAAAGTTGAATGCTTGGAGCATGAAGACAGCTAAAATCAACTGAAAATACCTATATTTCCAGAATTTTCATCGAAGGATCGCGTTCGCTTTGATGGATTAAATTATGGTTGTAATAAAAAGAGGGAAAATATGTGATGTTATTCCAGAACCATTTTCTACCTTTTAATTCTCTTGTGATTTGTACTATTTACTCACACAGCAATGTTCATCTCTTAGTAGAATGAAATAAAACTAATAATGTTATCGACTGTTGAGATATTGGTTAATGGTCCGTTGATTCCCTTTTAATTGGAACATTTCACGTTCACAAAACAATTGGCTGATGAAAATAGTTGACTATTAGAGGACTCTGGAAGTATGCTTTACATTGCCTAATATCCTTCAAGTTTTCGGGTTAGGCTCTTCTCTGGCAGGTTTATTTGTTTGACTTTTTTTATGCGTATTGGTCATTCAGTTTGCATATATTTTTGTTATGACTGAATTTTTGTTCTTTCAATGGTACGATGCAGTCTTTTTCTTAGAAAGATTTTTTAATAAGTTCAATAGCATTTTGTTGTTTTTGTATGTGTTTATTCAATAAAACCATGCAAAACATCTTGAGACGATATTTAATAGTATAATTTATTCAATTATTTACGTGTGCCCATGTTGAACTATCAGTTTTAGTATGTTTAATACTTAAATTTTTAAATTTTTTAAAATCATACATAATATTTAGTTTTTATTTTTTTAGAACCTTCCGTTAAAAACTTAACGCATTTAGTATTTAAATTATCAGTTTGATCTATTTTAGTAACCCGAACTTTTATTTTTTTTTCAAAAATTAACATTAAAGTTTGAACGGGATACTAGAATAAAACAAAAACTAAAGTTTTTAACGGTGAAGCACTAAAATAAAACAAAAACTAAATTTTAGGTATGATTTTGAAAAAAATAAAAGTTTATGTATTAAAATGAGCTAAAATTAATAGTTTATATATTAAACGCGTAATTTACTCAATACTCTACTATATTAAAATATTTTATATTTATGTCATAATTTGCATATTTTATTACATCTTTACAATATTTTATATTTATATATTAGTATTTTAATTAAACGATTTTATTATTTTTGAACTTGTTTTGAGTTTCATTTATTATGTAAAGGGTAACTAAGAAAATAAAGTTAGGACTTATTGGCAAGATATAAATATTTTAAGTTTCATATTTTTTGTTTATTGAGTAAAAATAAGTAATTAAGAATAATAACAAGGGAATGCGAAGATTTATGGAACAAATAAATTATTATTATTTAAAATGTTTTAATCTCAACCATTAAACTAAATTAATCAAGTGATAAAAATAAATTAATTCAAATTTTAATCCTTGTATGTTATGTTTCTTTTAACTTGGTCATGAGATTTTTTAGCATTAATGATTTATTTCCTCATTTATTGTTTTAGCATATTTATTAATTAATTTATTATAATTAATTATTATTATTATTACTATCATTACTCATACCTTTTCGAGCCATTTAATTTAAAAACTGTGATAACATATGTTTTTTTAACAAGGTACTAATTTTTTAGATGTCGCAAGAGTGTTTTAATATTTTCGTAAGTGTCAATAATCTCTATAATAAATTATTAAAAAAATCTTAATCATTGCTTATACTCTCTCTCTTAATTATGGTTCAATATTTATTATAACTGAAATTATTTTTAAATTTATAAATGTTCAATTATACATAATTTAAAATAAGGGTAAGTATATAAATAGTCCCTGAACTTTTAGGGCTTTTGTATTTTGGTCACCTAATTTTTGAAACTTGCAATACAATCATCAATCTTTTAATTTGTTTTCATTTTGATCCCTGTTGTTACCTTCCTTTAATTTTTACTAAAGTGACACTTAACGCCGTTAACTTTATGACGTGGCAGCAACAATTCCTACCTCTTCTTCATACTTCCTTATTTTTCTTCTCATCTTTCTTCATTAATTCCTTATTCTTCTTCTCACAACCAAAACATGTGATCCATGTTTCGAAACACCCAAGATCGAATGTAAAATTTAGAGGAAACTATAAAAATTCCCAACAATTAAGAACATTGATAAGAAAGATCCACTATCCAGTCTTTACATCTGCTTGGGTTGACCCCGACCAGCCATTGATCCTTCAGTTAAGCATCGATTCCTACACTTGGAGATGTCATAAGGAAACAATATTTAACTATTCTTATGTTAACAGCTTTCGCCATATTATTCTCTCTTCATCATGAGGGAGATTTCTCGTTTAGACAAGCATGGCTTATTTCGAGTTATAGTTAGATGTAATTACTAGTATTCTATTTTGACTCCAACTTTAGAACTCTTGTTAATCTAAAACTCTTGAAAACACTTGTATATATACTCCTTTGTATACTCAGATTGTAATGTGAAAATAGAAAAAATAATATGTTTTGAGAAGTTAAAATATACATGGTATCAGTCGCCGATATCTATCTTAGCTTTGCTCTCGCTGTCGTTTGACAGAAATCTGACCGACAGTGTGTTTTCCTTGCACTGTCGCTCTCTCGGTCATAAAAAAACCATCACCCCACCACTCGCTCCATCGTGAAAATCCATAACAGAACCTTCATTCTTGTTGTGCCACTCCCGTCGTAGTGTTACTCCTATAGCAAAGCCGCTCCTGTTACATCCCTGCTCTCCTCACAGTGTCGTTCCTGTCATAGCGCTGCTCTCCTTGCAGTACTGCTCTCGTCGTGCTGTTGGCCCCAGCGATTCCCAACCGGATTGCTACCTCATCGGATAGGTTCCCTAATCGATGCATCCTCCATCACAACAACACTTATCGCAACACCATCGTGGGTAATTTCATTGTTATATTATTATTATTATTATTTAAAAAACAGTTCTTTTTGTTTTAGTCGGTAAAAGTTCATCCACAATCATCCGAAGTCCCTTCAGACGTAGGCACCTCTGTCGCTCACCCGATCACCATAGATGTAGGCTCTTTTTCCATCACATGTCATCGATTGAATGGCGATAATTATCTTCTCCGATCTCAATCGATTCGTTTGTATATCATTGGTCGTTGGAAGCAGTAGTATCTCTCGGTAAATATGTCGATTCTAGACCCGTTCGATCTTCAATATAAAACATAACAGACCAAAAACAAAATGATTATGTCCTCGCTACTCAACTCCATGCTACCCAAAATTAGTGAAAATTTCATGCTATATTCGACTTCCGTTGAAATCTAGACCGCCACCCGAGAACCTATTCCAATCTTGATAATTCGGTTGCCTTGTTTGGAATTGAATGTTAGATTAGTGATTTCAAACAAGGCGAACTGAGTGTCACACAATACTTCACTCAATTGTCCCGTCTGTGGCAACAATTAGATCTCTTCGAATATCACTACTGGCACTGCGGTGCAGATGCAAGACTTTTCAAAGGATTGCTCATGAAATATCGAGTGTTTCAATTCCTATCCGGACAAACAACTACTCTCTATGACTACTGTGGTAGAATTTTGGGCATTAAACCTCTTCCATCCCTCTTGAAGTGTTTGCCGAAGTATGCCGTGAAGAAAATCATCGTTCATTGATGCTTCTGTATGGTGATATTGACGGTTCGACACTAGTCACTCACTCGACAAGTGATGCTCGCTCAAAGAAAGGTCGTCCTTACTGCGACCCTGCAAGAAAGTCGACCATGTTCGTGAAAAGTGCTGGAAACTTCATGGTCGCCCTGCTGACTGGAAACAATCATCCTCCCAACGTGATTCTCATGGAAATACTACAATAATCAACACTGATAGCAATTCGTTTAACCGTCAACAACTAGAAGAACTCAAGCAAATCTTTTGTCAAATCCAGTCCTCTTCTGAACTGAAACACACATGTTCTCTGAGTGAAGGTAAATCTAACTTTGCTTCATTCTCTCATGGTTGTGTTTCTTGGATTGTTGATTTAGGTACAAGTGACCATATGACGAGTGATTTTACCCTCGTTTTCAGAATTTTACAAAGATAAATTCTTCATGTAGTGTTCGAACGACTGATGGTTCACTTTCTTGATTATGGACAGTGGCTCAATTCAGACTAACAACCATGTCACTTTATCTAATGTTCTTTATATTCCAAATTTGGCTTGAAATATACTTTTGGTCAGTAAATTATCTGCGAATTTGGGTTGTGCTTCCCCCAAACTTGCTGCCCAAACCCAATAGTTTAGGATTTTTCTCCTTCAATACATGAGACCTCTCCTTAGGTTGCCACCTATCAAGAGAAAACTAAGGGAAAAAGTTAGAGAATAAAATAAATCTAATAATTGCAAATAAAACACATGCAAATAAAGGAAGTATATTTAGTTTTTTGTACAAATAGCAAAAATATTTTGTCGAGGAAATTTTTTTCAAAGCATAGGAGCAAGCTCTTAGGCATCATGTAGCAGTAGCGTTGACTTGTCGCGCATGATAAGTGCTCCGTTGTAGGCTTCAGCCTTTGGCCATTTACTTTAAATATTGGTCCATCATCTAAATTCTTGATTTCTATTGCGCCGTGGCTATACACTTGATGCTCTAGGAAAGGCCCTGATCATCTTGACTTCAACTTGCCCGGGAACAACTTCAATCTGGAGTTGTAAAAGAGCACTTGTTGTCCAGGAAAATAATTCCATGGCAAAATTTTTGTCATACCACTTATTTGTTTTCTCTTTGTAGAGACGAGCATTCTCATAAGCTTGAGCTTTGAACTCCTCCATATCGTTTAGTTCCAGCAACCTCTTTTCCCCAGCAAGTTGTACATCCATGTTAAGTTTCTTGATGGCCCAAAATGCCTCGTGTTCCATTCCATGGGTAAGTAACATACCTTTCTATAAACCAACTTGAATGAAGACATCTCTAGTGGCATCTTGAAAGCTATGCAGTAAGCCCACAATGCCTCATCTAGCTTCGACGAGTAATCTTTTCTTCTTGTGTTAACAACCTTCTCAAGTATTAGCTTGATCTCGTGGTTAGAGACTTCAGCCTGCCCATTGGCCTGGGGTGGTATGCTGAGGCAATTTTGTGGCGCAC